GTAGGGCAGGCTAGAAATTGCTCCACAGTGTCTGAAAGGCAGCCAAGCTCGCCAGCACTGCAGAGTCTCTTTACTGGCTGCTTGCGACTTGCCGAGGTGAAATACGGCAAACGCAAAGCTGTGACTAGGTGAACCCGCTTTGTGCCTAAATGGGGTTGCTGCTGCTCAGTCAGGATGATGGGCATGGACTAAATGCGGCCAACTGTGGCTTGTTTACCAATGACCAATGATGGCGCACATCTTCCAAATCGCCTTGATTTTGCGCGTAGGGACATTCCGACAGCCTTTGGGCTGTGTTTGCAATTTGGTGAATGTGTGTGCGTGTGACCTGTACCGTTGTTCGGGAGCAGGGCACTTGTAATTTATCCTGCCATGTGAAAATGGTGATTACATGTGAGTTGTGCATCCCGCAACCCAAGAACCATCCTTCTCAACCCTCTTGGCGCACCTCTTCGAGACCCAGCAGCAGCAGCTTATTCTTCAAGGCCTGAGAGTGCGAGCGTCGCTCATTCCGCAGATATGATAGAAAGAAAAATCAGAGTGGAGATGCGTCTATTCTGTGTTCCCTTCGGAAATCCGCCGCTCTAGAGACTCGCCCACTGCTGGCTCAACTTGGCAGGCAACATCGCCGGACATCCGCTCCCCTTGTGAAGCATGCGGTCTCACCAGCAAGCCGCTGTCAAAATCGGAGCCGTCAGGAGATGTCCGACATTTTCCCCTGATGCACGGATTGCTGATTATGTCTAAACGATTGGGATGTGGGACGGCGACAATCAAAAGGCAAGGTTCGTCAACACTTCCCCCCCACCCCCGGCCCAGACATCGGAGCACATGACTTTCCCCCCAAAAAATAGACTACGATTCCAGAAGAAAGAAAAAAAAATAAGAAACAAGAATTCAAGCAACTCGTGTTTGAGGTAGTCCCTGACGGCTTCCTTTCGAGACATGGCAATGGGCCAATCTTCCCGGCCCCGGGCGGGGATCTCAAAGGCGCCATCGAACTCGGCCGTGTCCACCTGGCTCATGCCAACTCGGCCTTGCGAACTCACCTTTCCCCGCATCCCCATGAATATCTGTTGATGGAGGCAGCTGACATCCCTTCTACATACCATACATTTGTGGCAAGTGACAGTAGCATGAAGCCGCTCAGAAGGCAGTCCAGTTGGCATCCCATGCGCAACTGAGTCGCCTCCCCACTGCCATCGGAGTCCAGGAGTTTGAAGAGCTCGCGCAGCTCCTGCCATAGTGAAAGTACACGGCACTATTCACTGTATGTCCACATGCGCATGACAAAAATATTAATGAAAGATAGGGGCCACTGGAGTTCGCCCTGTTGCAATGTTCCGCAACTGCCACCTTTGGAGGTCGAACCCCTGTAGGAGCACTCGTGTCTAGACAAGATCACAACACGAAAGCTTCTTGAATGTTTGGCACTCTGAAGAAGCAACCTCGTGACCTCACCAACTTGAACCCTGACAAACACAACCTCTTTTCAGATTCCCAAGCATCTCAGTTTCCACGAGGGAATACCACCCCGAATCGGAGAAGCGCGCGCTTGGAATCCGGGATGGGCACATCTTCGATCCGGCCTCGATTTGGCGCTTCTTCTCCTCCTCCGCCTCCGCGGCGCGGTTGGCCTCATCCTCCTGGCGAGCGCAAAATGGAGCCGGGTCCAAAAACCTGTGGGCACTTGCTGCTACCAACATGAAGTTGCAAAGGTTGTATGTGACCTTACTGCAAGCCCCATGGAACCACCGACTAAGAATGCCAAAAACCCTTTGGGCATCACTCACATGCAGGCCCTGGATGTTCCAAGCGCAGGTGGAAAACTCAAAACCTGAAAGGGAGCGATTGCTTCAAACGGTCCTCTTCATGAGTGCAAGTAATGAATTTTCAAAGCTCACCATGCTCTCCCCCTTACGACGTGCCACGGAAGAAGTGAAGTCACGATACGACAAGATTCACGCCGCTCTCCAAGAAGCCCGGAGACAGAGTACAACAGCCATGACCATGGGCTAATTGGCGCAAGCTGCACAAATGTTGCATGCGTGCAAACAAGTCGATGTGGCGGCACGCAGGCAATGGGCCGCGTCCACTGCTGGCTCAGCAGCTTACAGAGTCTCCACAACCAACGTTGCTTCAAAGCTTCCCTCCAAGAAAGAATGTTTCTATTTTCTAGAAAACGGCTTGGATGTGGCTTTTGTGCATCCACCCCTGTTGAATATTCGCCTCGGGCCGGGAAGTGGTCCTTAAAACCAGCCAAGTTCCCCTCTGGAAACCGAGGTCAAGCCCCTGTCTAGAAACCGATCAATCCACCCCTAGAAATCTCAACTTCCCATCCAGAAACCAGTCAAGGCCCCACCAAAGACCGGTCGTCAAATCCTGCTAGAAACCGGTCAAATATCCTAGACATTGTTTCAGAAACCAATCAACCCCCCCCCAAAAAAAAAAAACGTGGAAACCGGTCACACTCCCCTCTAGGAACCTGTCGAATCCCCTCTCAAAGCAGGGTTGCATCTCCCGTTCTGGCCCTTGAAGCCAGTTGGAAACGCGCGGACATGCACCCACCCTCTACCTTGCAAAACCAGCTCACGCATTTCGGCGCCAACTCACTCACTCTAATAAACACAACACTTCAAGGAAAACTAAAACACAGTACGTCAAAGCCAGCCAAAAGCGGACTGGCCGAGGCGGGCAACGCGAAGCGTTTACAATTAAAAGGGTACTAAAAGACTACCAAAAAAGGACTAACAGAAAAAGAACAGGTAAAATCCACCAAAAGCGCATCCAAACCCATTTCTACATGTTGTATTTGATGCGTTTGCCCCACGATGTTGTCGCTCGGAGTACAGCGCGTCAACCTACAGTAGATATGATAAAGTACAAGAAGGCTGCACTTGCTTTTGCCAATCCAAGTAGTGAGTCATAGCACCGCATTCACGAACCACTTCCTGCACAGTTCCACTACTTTGCTTTCCTGATAATATCGATAAGCCTGTGGCAAGGCTGCTGCTATTCTGACGAGCCATCGACATCGGGCCCTCCCAACACTTCAGCAGGCGCGTGAGCACGACAATACCAGCCAGCCCTGCGCTAACAATCTTCATCGAGTTGTCGCAGATGACTGCCTTGGATTCTGGGCCCATCCCCTTTTGGCCACAGCTGGCGACTAGAAGCGGCTACAACAGGTTGCCAAAGGGAAGACCAAACCGGCCACCTGCAGTCTCTTCTGTGTTTTCCCCAAGCATTTTGACGGAAAGAGCAAGAAACAAGGTGACAAACTCCAGCCTGTCAACGAGGCATAGTGAGAGTGGACTTTTTCCCTGACATGGAAAGGCACTACAGGTTGAGCTGCTCGACACGTGAGCCGTGTCTGGCAGTGCAAATGCAGTGTAGTGATAGCCCCATCATGTCGGTGGTGTTGGCATCTTTACCCTGCCTGTCACTCCGCCTAGCCGCCCGCTCATTGCCACCAGCAAGGCCGTCAAACAAGAAGCCCCTCTGCTTTGTGCAGCATGCTGCCACTGGAAGCATCTCACAGCCAACAAAGTGCCAGCCCAAGCCGAGCGCAGCGCTGTGACAAGATTCAGGATCACATACTGGGAAAGTGCCTGCCCAACCCATCCAACTAGCGAACCACTCAAGCGCGAGCAATCCGTGACCTTGGGCCTCTGCAAGACGTTCAAACAAAGCCGATCAACGAAGAATGTTACTGAACACTGAACACCAGCTATCTCCATTTTTTCTACCTCGTCGCAAGCATCAGTCATGCGTCGCTCACCCACATCAAATGGCAGAACGGCAGCTCCAAATGATGGAAGTAAGCAGCGGCAACGGGAATGCTAGCAAGGCCAACACAAAGCAAGCCTAGCAAATCCAATGAGCCTAGCACTCAGTTGACCTGCGCTTGGCAAAATCAAACCAATAAAGAAACTGAAAAGTCGGTCGAGCCGTCGGTCTCGGTCGCAGTGTGCCCAAGATGTGCAAAAGGGACCCCAGGTCCAGTTTTGCAGCTTGGGGTGTGACAAAAGCCTGCAGTAGGAATGTTCAGTTGGGGCCTTCGATTGCCAATCTTAGAATTCGATAATCACCAGCCGGTCACACGCTGTGTTATATTTGCCACAATCTCTGGAAGCTGCTCAGCCAGATTGTTGTGCTCCCCCTCGGCCTGATCAATGTTGTAGAGCCATGCATCGAGGCAGAATCCGGGGAGGGCGTGTAGGAGTAATCCTCGACCCCCGACCAGCCTCCTCGGTCTTCATCGGAGGGCAAGCCCATGAGGTTGGCAATAAAGGGCTCTCCAAGGATCAGCTTGTAGGGCCACTGGATCACGGCAGAGAAGTTGGCCTCAGACCATCCCCTTCCGAAGGCGGGCAAGCCGGAGATCTTGGTTCATGGCGATATTTATCGGCCAATCGGCTGCTCGCCATCCCAGAATCCACAGACGCTGCAGTCTCAGAGCACTTGGCCGGTGGGCAAGTCTTTGTCTCAGAGCACTTCGGCCGGTGAAAGGTCCCTTTGCAGTTGGCGCGGTAGAAGCAAAGAGCGGGCGCGCAGCTTGGCACTGTGCGGTTGTAGTAGTCCGTCTGTCCTTGAGGATATCCGAGATGAAGTTGAATCCTCGACTCGAAGGCATCTGGGCCTTTGAGGAGTAACCCAAGTGCCATTGTCCGATGGCATGGCATCATAGCCGGCTTTCTGCATGACTTCCCCAAGTGGCATCACTTGGGATCCCAGCGGCCGAGCCAGGCAGAATGGTTGACCACTGCCGATAGTCCGAGCCCATCGGCCGGTCATGATGCTTGGGTGCGTCGGAGAACATTGCGGCATGGCACACATGCTGTCCAGCTCAACACCGGACTTGACGAGTCGATGTTGGGGGTCGGGAAGTTAAGCCGTGCTAGCCCACATCAGCCCATCTCACGTCGTAACCAGCATGAGGAGATGCCCGCATGATTCCAGGTGCTGCTCTTGGATTGACTTGAAGGTTAAACGACTTGAGCCAATGTATCTCCAGAATATCCACAATGTATCCATGGGAACTTACTGCAGCAGGGGTTTCCCAAAAAAGAATGCCAAGTCTCCTTCTTTCTCTGGGCCAGCCATGAGTGATGCGCTCCCGGGCCAGCCAGTGCCCTTTGGGCAGCGCCTGGAAGGCGAAGAGGAAGATCCAAATGTGAGGCTGGCCCTGGCGTGATTCTTCTGGAAACAAGCTAGAATGTGCTTGCGGCTGCTGGGGGGGCCATTGCTTGGTTGGTGAGTGTAGTCTGAACCTTTGCAAGTGGGAAGATCCCCCCCAATGCACGTGCAGAGGTGTGAATTGTGCCCAAGCCCCTGGCAGGCTTTCTACACCCACTCACAAAGGCCTACTGATGAAGAAGGCGTGACAACGGCGGCAGAAGACTTCCCAAGGAATTTGCCCGAAGCAGAATGTACCCTTTTCCTAACGATCATGGGAGTGTGACCAGGGACCTGTTCATGAGGATGGTAGTCTTCCACAACCCTCTTGTCTTATTGTTGGCAGAGTAAATCTTGCGTTTGGCCGATTAGCGACGGACGCACTGCATGTCACACCATTTCAGCGGTGTCATGTGTGTCTCTGATTTTCGCTGGTCAATCAGGCCAGTGCAAATGACTCAAAAAATGTCTTATGATCTTGCGTCGTGCTGACGGATCTCAAAATCCTGTTTGCGCTTCCGGCAACTGTCCGGGTTTCTCTCCCCACGTGCCTCTGTAGGATATGGTGTGTCCTCCTTCGCCCAGGGCACCTGACAAAGCATCTGTGTTGAAGCGGCGGCTCTTGGCTCGGAAATATCCGATTTCTCTCACAACTTGCAGCGCCACTGCCTGGTAAAAAAATTGCTGGTTCCAATCAGACTGCTTATTCTTCAGAAAGTCCAGCTGGGTCCCTCACTGCCAATCTGCTCTTGGAGCGGCAAAACAAAACTGTTTAGCCGGCATCCTTAAATTGCGCCCTGTTGGATGAGTGTTTCAAGACAAATCCAAACGAACTATCCCTCATCCCAAGAAAGCCGCCCGTATGGACCACCAGTCATCACGCCTGCATGAGATATTCCACCACGTCCATGGCGCCATCGGAACTGCAGCGGTCGGAATTGCTGAGCAACAGGCACGAGAAGATTGCGAACTCGTGGCAAATCTAGGGTGGCAACATGTATACATCACAAGAGGGAACCTTCTGTCATCACTTCTGTCCAAACAGGCATCGGCATGGGTCAGCTTACAACTCCCCCGCCTCATAAACCGGCTCATGGTAAACATGGCACTGCCTCGGCCATGCGACTGCAGTTCTGGCAGTGCTTGCAGCGCAGAAAAGTGTGGGCCCAAACACGATGAAATGACAAGCTCATTCGGCTTGACCCGGACACTAGCATCGCAGCTTCTTATAGGTTCTCTGCTGATCGTTCTTGCTTGAGGGGCGCGCTTTCTGCCTGTGCAGTGCAGGGCTCTTTGCTTTGCTGAGACAGGAATAATGCATCTCAGCAGCGGATGTCGGTGAACCACCGCGGGACGGCGTCCTGGCGTAACCAAACCAACAGCTCAAGCAAAAAGCACTGGCAAGTACATCCTTGTCAGCAAACAAAGAAGGGTCCAAGCAAAGACTCTTTTGGGGTGAGGCCGCTGGGGATGACCATGTCGCAAAGCGCTCAGTGGCCACTTGGTAAGTTGCTTTCCTTCCAGATTTGAAGGAAAGGAGGCAACCTTGGCCTTGGGACAGCCAGATGTGCTCGTGACTGAAAGAAGAAGATCTCAGAAAGGAGGGAGTTCATGTGGTTTCCTTTCAAAAAACAAAACCCGCCCCTCTCAAAGGTCAGTTTTCTCATGGTGTCCTTTTCAAAGCCAATGATTTGCGGGCCCTGTTCGTCACTCGTTCCTGTAATTTCGGCAATCTCTGCAAGTGCCCAGTTCAACTTCGGCTCTGACCTCCGGCTGATACGTCCAGGCGTCGGCGTAGCCAATGAGGTCTACCTCTGCGACGCCGGCCATGAGAATCACATGTTGTACCATCCAAAGGGAAACATCGCCGCAGGACCTCACTCATGAGGACTGTCCTAACGATAACCGGTGATTGTGAAGTATCAATCATAGAAACATGCGCATGTGTATATATATATATATATACATACATATGTTGTATATGCATATATATATATATATATGTGTATAATAATTACATGAATCGACACTGACGTTGGTCCACTGTTCATGACTGCCGTTCCCAAACATTCGGTCTCATGATCATTCCCAAGCTTGTAGCATATGTCAAGCAATGCACACAGCGGCAGAAACGCAGTGAAGCAGATTGCAAGGCGAACGAACACGTCTCCGTCTGAGGCGAGCGCAGCTATGATGCTGAAAAATAACCTTGGAAGCAAACTACTGTGGAAGGCATTTAGCTGACTGATGAAACCAACCCTGTACAAAAATTCCTCTGGCACAAAGAAGGCTTCAAAGAACCGGCAACGACATCCACCGTAGTGTGCGAGGGAAGGCCCGTAGTCTACAGCAAACATGCCTTGCAAGGCTGTCACAGCAACTCAGGCAAATCAAACGGTCCTGCGTCTGGACGCTCCCAGCAGAACAGCAGCATTGACATTCAATCAAAGTCAGGCCGAGGTGCACTGAAGTCGCCAGCAGCAAGCAGGACCAAAACAGCGTCCCTGCAGACGCAAACCTCAGACAGCAAGCCGGCGCCTCTGCTGCGCCAAACGTTGGCAAGTGGAAACAGGCATCATTTGAGTGTGACTGTGTGTCCAAGCTATGTATGTGCGTGTACGTGTGGGTACTGCCAATGCCCAAGATGTTGCCACAGCAGTTGGCCCTTGTCTGAACAAAATCGCAGCTGAGATGATCCCGGCATTCCGGGCACAAGTGTCTTCAACTCCGCGTGTCACCACTGAGCTTCCAGACAGGCCGGAAAGCAGTAGCCAAATGACCTTGAAGCCCTGGTCGCACGAGTTGACAACTCACAGATCTGCCAACGGCGTCTTGCCACAGAATTGCATCGGAGGGAAACAAACTGCGAGGAGGACTGGCAGTCAAACAGAGGCATGATTCAGGCATGATGAAGGAAGAGATGGGAAAGGAGTGAGAGGCGGGACGTAGCAAAGAGATGCCATTCACCGGCCATGTCCTTCTTCCTTCATTCACCTTCATTCTCCTTCATTTCCCAAAGCCATATTTAACAGACTGAAAATGCTTGGGAAGAGAATGAAGGTGAAAGAAAGCAAAGATAAAGTGAAAGTGTTCCTGATAAGCCAGAAAGAAGCTTCCTCGTCTATCACTTTACGATCGTGAAGGTAAAGACCCGGTCCGCCGTGCATATGGGTATGGGTCAAAACCTCTGGACTGTCCACTTTGGGGATGGTGGGACCCATCCAATTTGGTCGATTTGTGAGGGGATTTACATGTTCACCAGGGGTACGGGGCTTTGATCCATGGCCATATTCTACTTGTTTTGCAAGCAAGGAACGTGCAATATCATCCACCAAGATTCCTGTGCCAACGCATGCCTGGCCACTACAAAAGTTGTTCTGGCAAGCAGAGCTTGGAGTAAGCTTGACACGCCAGGTTGCGAACACCAAAAGGTAAGTTGATTATTGATGCAGTCCTTTCAATCTCTACTTTCCAGTGAAACAACCCGCCGAGCCTTGACATTCTTGATGGTGTGGATAGCCTTGCCAAATCTCAGCATCCTGGCATCTCCGGCCCCCCCCCTCTCTCTCTCTCTCTCTCTCTCTCTCTCTCTCTCTCTCTCTCTCTCTCTCTCTCTCTCTCTCTTTCTCTCGCTTCCTTGCCTTAGCCTCTTGTTTTTGATGTGGTCACTTTTGGGCCGCTGCCCAATTGTTCGAAAGACTCCCTGGTTCCCCCAATTGTTCCCTCTCTGCGTCTCTCTCCCCGCCACGGCCTCAGCACAATTCTCACCTGTGCGTGCCGAGGCTGCAGAAACTGGTGGCTACCTTAACCTCGATTGAATGAAAAGGGAGAATGTGAAACCTCAACTTCAGCTTGGTTCTGGCTCTGATCTATTAGAAAAATTGAAGCAACTGCCGAAATGGCCTCCCTGCTAGATTTGGCTGCCCACATGCGCTTGTAGAAAATCGGTGCTTTCTTCCAGGTGGCTGTAGCTCAGGCGGTCTCTTCTTGGAAGTTCAACAAACAAAAACCACAATGGCCTTCAGCCAAAGTGCCCTTGTGGGAAACTGCTCTCTGTTCCACACCTGCGCCCGCCTGCCCACATGGCTCCCAGCAAACTGCCAGGCACCCCGGCGATTTCTACCGTGTCACCCATGGCCGACAGGATGAAAGGCGCCCAGGCCTTTGGGCCGTGGTGGTCACCCCAGCATGTCCTAACTCTGCCTGCGCCATGTTTGCGACTGCCCATCCTTGGTCAATAGCATTACAATGTCTTTGGCTGGCAACGGGTCGCCAACTGCAGGCTAGCCGATGCATGATGTTCGAAATGGACAGGCATTCAGTCCAACACACTCGGCCAACCAAACCAGTGACCGAAAAATAGGCGAGAGAGGAATTACGAGGAGAACAGGTTGGGAGTGGCCACTTGCCTCCGTTTACCCAGGGTAAAATCCAATAGGTAAACTACTCGATCCAACTTGGCTTTGAACGATGTCCTTGTCACACACAACGGCAAAAAGAAGCTGCATGTGCAGCTACTATATACATACACATGCATACGCGAAGGTATATACGTATATCTGTTTATATTCTATTCTATACACTACTTCATACATGTTAAACATAGCATACGTACACTATACGCGTTGCATCATTCAGCAAAACGCCTCTCTTGCTGCTTGGGCCTGCTGCGCCACCAACTGCTCGCGCATCTGGCTGCAGTCGCTCCTTGTTGCTTGGATCTGCTGCGCGCCCCTGCTCTCGCGCCCGGCTGCTGTCACCGCCTTCCTTAGGGTTTCTTAGTCACGACAGAGCCTGTGACGTAAAGCGCGAAGGCGTTCGACGTGGAAGCTAGCTTCGCAGGCTGCGCGATCTCCCAGGTCCAGCGGGCCGCTTGATCCGTTTCCACGGCGGCCATGGCCTAACTGCTGGACCCCTCCATTGATCCAAATCTGAGAATCCAAAGAAAATGGACATTTTGGCCTTGAGCCAAAATTGGCCCAAAAGCTGACATTGGCACATGAATGAAGTCAGCTCACCCACCTGCCCAAGGCAGAAAGCCAATTAATATGTATATACATATATACTATAATCGAATACATATGTAGTTCGATATTGTACATATATGCATATACACATATATTATATATAAACACATACATGTTTGCGTGCGCCGGTTGGCTTTCCAATGGATGCTTGCGCTCCTCTTGGCATGCACCAGTAGGACTTGTGTCATCAAGTATTACTCCGTGAAGGGGTCAAAACTGGCAGAAAGACATGGACGGTGGACGTTGACATGGCAATCGACGGGCCTAAAATTCAACAGGAACATTCGAGGCCGCCACGGCAAAGGTGAATCCGATGTTAAGCGTCTCCTATTGCTTCACATGACTTGTAGGATGCACATTCTGCCGCATCACCACCCCTGTGGCTTCAACGTGGATGAGGGGGAAAAAGCTGCAAAACGACTCGGACACCTGTCCTTCAGCCACAGGCCGCCGCCAACGATGAAGCGAAGCACCTGGCAGAGCCGCAAGCCCGTGCCATAGGCATCAAGACGTTACACTCCAACTAACCCTTAACCACCCCCAACCCCACTGGGGGTTGGAAACCGTGGCGCAAGCCTTTCTGGACCATCATTCGGAAGAATGCCGGGACTTTTTGCATCTCTGCACCACTTGCATTGCGAAAAGGAGGCCTTGAAGGAGGCCTTCGGAGCCCTTCCACGCCAATCAGATGCCAGCTGCACCCACTCCGCAAGAAAGAGGCAGTTGACAAGCCACATGACCGGGTCGATCCACCTTGGGTCACCAAATGCGGTCCAGAAGGCAGCAGTGCAAGGCCACCAAACAAGGTCACGACGCACCGACAGAAATGTCCAAAATTGTCCTGGTCAACAAAAGCTCTGCCAGGCCCACAAAACGCATGACTTCGGATTGTGAACTTCGAGCGCAACAACCACCGTTCAGAACATGGGCCACGTTGATGCTTGGGCGGCCTTTGCGCTTGCTGTTCTGTGGCACCCTGCACGGGCTTGGGGGTGTCGCCGTTGGGGTTCCAGACTTCCGCCTGCGAAAGTGGGGGCTGGGGGTGCTGACAGTGACCCATTGAATCAAAAGAGTAGGACCAAGGAGGAGGGTTTCACAGGGCACAAACCTTTGCAACTCAGAGATCGCAAGGCTGCGTTCTTGTAGCGCCTCGATGCCCATGACAATGGCGCTAACAAAGATGATGAGCGTGGTCTCAGTCAGGCAAATGATCAAGTGCTCAGCCGCACTGTAGCTTGCGCACAGAGCAAAGAAACAGCCGTAACTGTGAGCGAGATCGGCAATCAATCTCTCGAAAGAGATTTTGCATTTTCTACTTTACAAGATGAGCATGTGTTTATGCTGCCATCAATTTCAACTGCTCAAAGGGCCCTGCCGCGATGTCGAAGTAGACATGGCGCACCACAGGCCGCAGCTGCTTGCGCAGCCTGTCACAAGGATAGGCACCCTTGCCTCCATAGCACCCTTGCCTCCATGGCGCTGGGAGGCTAATGCAAGCATGCTTCCCCACCCCTGCAAAAACAAGCTGACCAACCCAAGTCAACACAACCCGACCCGCCCAAGGCCTATACTACAATGTGTTCTTTTAACTCTGCCTGTCATCCCTTCCCTTGGCCTGCGGAAGGTCTTGTTGTAGCAGGTGTTGTAGCAGGGTCGTAACCACCGCGGCACCTTCAACTCCTTCCTGGCGTCCACTTCCCTTTGGCTTTGGCTTTTGGGTTCGGGCCTTTGGCAATGACACATAAAGATGTCACAGCCCCCTTGGGGTGGCCCGCAAGTAAAGCTGGAGAGGTAGGCAAAACTTTGCCGTGTCCCGAAAAACCTTCAAAACCAGGAGGCCCATCTTTCTCCCTGTCCTCATCTTTGGCTCCTGCATGCACGGCGACTGACCTGAAAGCCATCTATAGGTGCCAATGTGTCGCATGGATGTAGATTGTACGAACCCCGGATACCAGAATGGATCCCACAGCTGGCCTGGGGCCTACCCTTGGACTTTTGGCAGTGCGCCTGCTGACGCACAACAACTTGACACTCAGAAAAAAGCTGAGGGTCGTGTCTCCGCCATCCCATTGCCACGTACACCCAGGGTCCTTGAGGTCGTAGCCTCAGCTCAGCAACCCATTCAACATGTACTTAGCACCGCAGCAAGCCGCAACTGGCATGGTAGACTACTCAAAAACAAAAACAACAAAAACTAGACACACACACACACAACATATGGACTGCATCTTCAAGACCGTGCTCCTTGCATGGCTCTCTTGTTGCGTCCCCCTGAAAAGAGCCCGCCTAAGTCTTCTTCTTGCAGCGCTTCCGCAATCGCCTCGCTCCGTCAGAAGACGGTTGTAGAAATCCGAAGATTAACAAACCCCTGGTTGATTTGTATGGAGGTGTCCCATCTTAGAGGGGGTCCTTCACTGTTGGGGAGAACATTCTCCAATCACCCCACCAGGTTGAGTACTACAGGTCGACATCAAAACCAATGCCCTTTGGCTTCGTTGCCGTTGACTACTATTTCGCATCTCCACTTGAATACGATGTTAAATCCCAACAGGCATGGCAGGAGTGAATCGCTAGACCCGCAGCCCACGTTCTTCTTTTTGAGACATGCGGCAAAATCAGCAATAAAAAACATTGAACTCAACCCTTCACAATGCTCACTTCAAGCTGGGAATCGTGGGTTGAACGGCTGAACCAAGGCGTTCACGCGATCTACATCTCATTTCCCGCGCCACTTCTGGGTGTGTGTTCCCGCATGTTGCGAACTGTTTGTTTTTCCTTTTATATTTTTTCGGCTGCGATCGGGGTCCGCAACTGGGGTCAAAGAGGCACGTGGAATATAGGGACTCCAAAATTCAAGTGTTCCCTTGGCTTCCCTTTCAACCAAAGCTGAAAAGGGTACCCTTGACAAAAACACACCCAAATAGTGATTGCTGCACAAACCTGGTTCAAAAACCCTGTTGAATGGGTACTCACTGGCTCTAAAGACATAGAATGATTCATAAGACCAAAGGGGGCCTGGCATCCATGGAGATTTATTCCTGAGGAGCGTGCTTCATCCTTCGCATCTTCTCTCGCGTCAGCCTTGCAAAACCACACAACCATGGACATGTTTCCACATGGCCAGAATGACCTAAACAGTAGTAACCCCTGTGAGACGTCTGTCTACCAGCCCCACGATCAATATGCACCCTGAACTTTGCGCTTGCCGCTGGAACAATGCCTTCGCGCCTCGTCAAGGCGTCCTGCCTCCAGCGACTTCCTGGCAAAAGCGAAGGAAGGCCAAGAGGGTGGAGAAGCAAAGAGGGGGAAGGAGAGACCTGTGCAGCCAGCAACATTGATGGATCTGTGGCACCGCACCCGTCAACCAAAGTCGCTCCTTTGTTTCGCCTATTCTCTCTCTGGGTGATTGCTTTGTGACGGCCCAGACAACGGCTCCAGCAATGGAACCCCGTAGCGCTCCTCTGCTGCTCGGCCAGGACCGTGATGCGCTTTGCCTGGTTTGACTCCCGCGCGACCCGGAGCCAACCGCACAAATCTGTGTCCCTCCAATGGCCTTCTCGCTGTCCATGGTACCCATGGCAAAGGAACACGAGGAATTCTCGAGAAATTTCCTGCGCTGCTTGCTATTTGCGCTGTGGTCTGCTTGCCGGGCTTGTCAAGGCTGCTTCGCTGTGGCTGGTCTGTCCTTTCCCGTGCTGGTTTTGGCTGTGGCCACGCGCTTGAGAGCAACCTGCAGCGCGCGATGCGGAAACTTTTTCATTGCGGCAGCTTTGACAGGAATGCACAACACCTTCGCCAAAGAAGCTTTGGGAAATGCCAAATGGACGCTGTGAATGGACCCCTTCATCCTCTCATCTTGCACAACTAACTTAGGCTATGTGCTGCTTCCTTGTTGGGTGTTGGGTTCACTGGCACCAGCTTCCACGATGTCAAACCAAGATCACCGCAGACCCACCCCACCCCAACCCGGGTTAGTACCCCTGCAATGTACCCGGCGCACGCGTATCCCTGGATCTATTTCTTATATGTCTTGGACAGGCAAGGGCATATTATCTGATTTGGTGAATGCGAGGACACACAGACAGCCCTGAAAAACATTTCTCTTTGCTCTCTTGACCCTCTCTCACTGAGCGCAGCAGCAAGGCTGTTTCTCTATGGCTGGCTGAAACAGCCAACACATACACCGAAGGGCCTTGAGTACATGATTGCACGGAATTCAATCTTCATGCCCAAGCACAAGCAGAACAATTTCTGCCCCGCCCTTTACGCTTTCGGTGCCCGCCCCAGTACCCTCGACAAGTTTCAGATTGGCAGGCGGGCACTGGATGAGGCCTCTCCGCATGGTCCTGCAAGACGGCCAACCCAACAAGCACGCAGGGGACACCTGGTGTCAGGTCTGAAAGTCTTGGCTGAATGGAAGGAACTATGCGTCCCAACAGAGCTGGCTACCCCTTTCAGCAACACCAGCAATTGCAACACTGATTTAATTATTGAGCTGAGCAACAAGCTGCACTGTCATCACAATGACTACCACAGTCACCAGTCCATCAACAATCGCCCTGACTGAACTGAAACAGCTCCAGTGCCATCCGCAACCACAGGTCTCAAGTCAAATGCCCCCTCAATACTTAACAATTTGACCTTCTGTGGGTGTGCCTTGATGCCCATCCGAAACCCAGACTTCCCTCCACTCCAAGGCGCAGCCGCAAGCCGCAAGACCCGTTTTCCGCTTGCCGGTTGAAGGCTGCGGCGCGAGTTGCTTTCTGAGCGCCTCTGCACGCTGGCTCTTGCCCATGAAGCTCCACGCCACCACCCACTTGACGTTGCGGCCCTAGGCGTGCTCTGAGGTGTCTCGCACACAAGGAAGTCCTAAATGTTGACCATTTCAGGTGCAAAGAATATGCATGCAACTAGGCATCTCATGCCAAAACAGACTCGATTCTTGGTTGTTGCTTGAAATCGCCCACGGGTGCCAGTTGGGCCCTCCTTTATCAAGCATGGCATGCCTCCAAGCGTTCACCGTGCCCATCCGAATTTCAGAAGTCCCTTGCCTGGCGCAGCTCGAAGCGCCGGCGCTTCGCCTTGAGTTCCCCGAGCCGCGCGTGGATGGGCTCCAGTGAGGAGCTCCGAGACAGTAAGCTGGAGAACCTCGAGATCGGTTGCGCGGCCATCCGAAAGCTCCGCCGGAAAGCTCCACCCGGAAAAGGAATCCCGAGACCCTTAGCCCTTAGACCCTCAAACACCCTAGATCTACCCAAAGCCCTAAACCAGGCAGGCTCGGGATAAGCTGAGGTTGGATCTAAATTAACTCAGATCGGGTTTACACTTGGTTTAGGTTTGATTTGAGTTGCGTTGCGGTTGCTTTTGACTTGGGGTACAAGAAGACTGGATGCATGATCAACGTGTTTACGCAGGATCAGATGCTGTAGACGCACACCAGTTTAGGCTCAATTCAGATTGGGATTTGCAGGCAACTGTCATAAAAGTCAGGGCAAAACACTAAGAAAGTCCAGGGGAAAATGCTGCAATGGGATGAGCGACGGGCTCTGGCAGAAGCACCCAGAACCCCCGCGGGAGCTTGCATCGGTCCTTGTTTGGCCTTTGGGAAAGAAACCAGAACGCCATGCTCTCTCACGGCGCAAGGATGGAATCTGCGAATATGCATCACTGTTCTACGTACAGTTCCGTATCCTAAGTATTCCGCTGCTTTCCAGGCTGGGCCATCGGGTCCACTCCCGGGCCCCCTGAGGCCCCAGGCCAAACGCAGGACTCGCGGAAGCGCGGCTGGGCGCTCTCCTCCAGCAGGCGCGTCACAAAGCCCACCTGTCGAGCCCAAGTTGCCCGGTGAGTCTGGGAGCGCACAACCTTCGTCAATATTATAATATGTCCCGGACGAGACTGCTGAGGCTGGGGTGAGAAAGGACAAGCTGCAGCTCATTTGCAAGGACTGGCGGAAGGTGCAGTGGCTAAAGCCCTTGTTGCAAGTCAATGTGCATGTCTCACTGTGGGCAGCAAAATGCCCTTCTCACAAGTCACAAAAAAACAGAAACGACGGTTGGTTCGCCCCCGCCTCTCCTCCCTCACAGCAGAGCTCCGCCTCGCGGCCCTGGTAGTTCTTCAGCGCCGCCTTGCACGTGAGCTGTAGCTGAAGAAAGGGAACTGGAAGTCGGGAGTCCCTTCCAGTCACTGCGTAACTGAAGTTAGTGGAAGTATCAAAACCTGCAACTATTTTGTGACTGGCTCCTGATGCGTGCCAGTAGTTTGTTTGGCAGAACTCGGTATTTCAGATCTGAGGTTTGCCCTAAGAGCTGCTTCTCTTCTCAACCTCACCCCCCTCTCCCTTTCTACCCGACCCTCCTGAGATCCACCCGACCGGACCCCCGCCTGCTGGAGCTTTTGGTTGCCCAGGCGCTGCCACTTGTCACTGGCCGCCCTCCGCGCGTGCTCCAAAGTCTCGTGGAAGGGCGGGTTGCACAGGCTGAAGGCCACCACCTGAGGGCGGCGAGGCGGCGAGTCACGACTCGCGGGTTGTGCAGCGTGTCGTTTTTTGAGAAATTCGTTTTAGGGGGGAATCGAAATGCATTTAAAAAAAAGGTTGGCGGGGAGTTATCGATTTAGAAGAACACTCTTTGGAGCTCCTTAGCTCTTGCGTATGATATCAAGGTCAATTATGACCATGGTTAAGGTCAAAAAAGTACCAAAACAGTCGTTCGGCTCATTTTTGGGGCTAAGCCCAAAAGGCATATCATCGACAAGGCTTCCTTCTTCCAGTTCAGGGGCCTCGTCCTTCCGCAGCGCCCCGCGCAGGATCCGTTTTGGATCCTTCTGGCACCGCAGCGTCACCTCGGCATAGCTTGCTGCGCTTTGGAGCGCTAGGGCCGGGTCTCAGTCAGTCAAACAGCGCCAAATGCAGGATACACGATCAAACGGCGGATCAAAGGATTGGTGCGAACGGTGCGCCCAAGTGAAGCAGATCATTGAAGAGATCCCGATGCAAAGGGAAGCTAGACAGGAAGAGAATGGCAAAGCCGCCGAGCATTCAGGGCGATAGTACAGAATCAGATCGTCGAGCATGGGAGACCGGGCCTATTGTGTGACAGAGACAAGCCACTGCTCAGTGGTAGAATCGATTGCCATGGGGGTGTTCTTGCTCAAGAAAAACGGCCTTGGTCAAACACGATTCCTGTGGGCGTCTTCCTCACTCGTGAAAGAATCCAAAGGAATGCACGCAGAATCATCGCTTGGACAGTTCGTGAGTTGCCATGTGACATGATGACGTCACAAAGCATAGCTCCAACTCGAATCCAAACCCCATTCACATGAAATACAGTGAGATCTCAATCATGCCGAGGAGAAGGTGCGAATTCAAATTCAAGGCAACCATCCGTTTCCATCACGTACTTCTCAACGAGCGTAGAAGCGATGGACATGAATGGAATGCATGATGACGAGAAGGTCATCAAGATGAGTATGTCCCGGCCAATTTCTGGAGAACTCCACTCCAGTCGCTCGAACGGAACCTCCGCCTATTCAAATGTAGCCCATACCCTCTGTCCCTCTCTGCCTGGTGCTGCAGCTCGTTCCGCGCCACAATCTCCTCAGCGTTTTCCAGGGCCGCCTGGTCCACGTCGCTGGCCAGGAAGCTCCAGCCGTATTCCTCAGATGGGCAAAAAAAAGCGCCCTTTTTGGGTTGAACCGGTTGGTGTGTGAAGAAAAACCCTTCCAAGGAAAAAGGGTGCCACTCGGCAGAAACTCCGCGGCGCCCAGGAGGCTGTAGATGCAGCTGGCCCCTGTGCCGAGGTCCAGGCCGCACACGGACTCGCCCCTGGGAACCTCCTGAAGGCAAGTCAAATCGGCGCCTTCAACACAAAAAGCGGAACAAAGAAGCTGAAGCAGAAACTAGCAGGTACAAAGACCGGCTTTCTTTCGCCAGCACTCCTTACTCCCAAGAGATTGCTGCAGCAAGTCCGCCATGATGTGGATGTAGTCCACCCTTTGGGGCACCGGCGGGCAAAGATATCCTGCTGGAATACGCCAGCCCTGTATGTTGTAGAACTCTGCGAGGAGGCTGCGTGTCAGCTCTTCTAACGCCTCCTGGTTGGAGTAGTCAATGGATGCACCACCCCACTGGTTCTCAAAGACAAAGCGTTTCAGGCCTTTCTGCTTCTTTGCCAAATCCCGGTAGTCCAGGTAGTTTCGGTGCTTGTTGCGAGGATGCATGGCGGAGCAACTTTGGCATCCAAACACGTCCTCATCATACTCGCATCGTCCAATGTATGTGGCAAACAATCTATCAAAAATTGCTGGTGATGAGCTGCAGAAAGCTACTAAGCAACTGTGGTCAAGAATCGAAGAATACTGATGACCAAAGCCTTTGCACCAGAGCACTGTACTCCTCTAGAGGAATACCGTGTTATAGAATCAAACAACCATGGCACTCTTGTGCGTAGCCGCTGTTCTATTCAGCATGTTTGAAACCTCAGCACAGCAGATAATGATCAAGCACCTTTACATTGGAGCCGAGGCGATACTGCAAAGGGAAAATGCTTCGTTGTCTCTAGCTGGTCCATGCCGACCGTCACATACAAAGCTCCACAGCATGATTTCATGATTCAGATTGCGAGATCATATGCAAGTAGTCGATGTGAACTTCATGTGTGTCAACCTGGTGGACTTCACAACCTCAGGAAATCTTGCGGTAGATCAGGCTCCAGCCTTTCTTGGTGTACTCCTTCAATGCCGTGGAACCTCGTCTGAGACTACATTTTTCAAAAAGTTCAAGGCAACCATGTTTTGGGGTACGCAAGAATACGCTCGGTACCGACTGGGTTTTAGCCACCAATGTTGAGGGGGTGTACGCACGGCAATCCGGAGCTGCTGCTACGCCCTCAAGACATCCTTTCCTTGGCAAAGGGTATCTTCTAGTGTTGACCACGTTGCGATGAGTGCGATGGAAGGTGGAGCAAACACTATTTTTCCGTTGGCTCCTCGGGCAAGCTATTCCCCGCAAACCTTCCTGAGCATGCCTCGTCTCGTGGGGCGCGCCAGAAACATTTATCACCGCGAGCTAGTACCAGGCAGTTGGCAACCACAACCTGCTCCGCACAGCTGGCAGTAGCACCGCTGGACAAGAGTCTGCAAATGGGCTTGGGGCTTCCCGAAAACAAATAGAAAAGAATGGCAACAAACAAAAAGGGTTCCCTCTGGCCTGAAGGATGGTTTGACGAAAAATCATGCATTTGTCCAGCCGTGTGATAAGATGCTCTGGATGCCTTCCTTTGGAAGGATCATGTAAAACCACAGCCCCGCTCAAAAGGTGGCTGGGCCTACCCTCTCAAGGGTCAGCGTTAGCTTCAGCTTTGTCCCCAGGCTAGGTGCCTCCTGTTCTTGGGCAAAGGGAAATTCCGCCGTAACTAGAGATTCCAGATCGCAACACATGGTCATTTACATGGTGATCTAGTGTGTTGCATTCAAGAGAGGCACGCCGTTGCACTTGTCAACGAAATTGCCGCACATGCATCAAATGCATGATTCTGCAGTGATGCGCAACGACGTGGGGGCCTAAATATATATATATATATATATATATATATATAATATATATATATATATGATATATATATATATAACTCAGAAGCTTCCGTGAGAACGGCTGCCAATCTAGACTCCGCGAAAGATGCTTCTGGTGGCCAAGGACTGAACGGAAAGAACAAATCTGTGCGTTCTTGAAGAGCAATGACATGCACAGGCACTCACCTCATGCCCAGGGTCAAATAGCCCGCCGCGCACCAAGCCGCTTCTTGTACGCCTCTGTCCAACAACTCGCATGGCAAATCGGAAAGGAGTCATGCTGACTTGACGCCAAGAACAACTCGGAAAGCGCCAAGCGGGTGGGAGAACGGATTTGACCGGACAGCGCGTGCCCATCACGTATTCTTGTGCTTGGCCAGACTCACCAGCTGCACAGGCCTCGCGGCAAACAAACAAACTCTGGCCACAGGCGTGCCTTCGTGGCAGGCCAACTTCATGAATCCAAAGTAGGGAGCAAGTGCCAAAGTCAAGCTATTAAACTGGTGCGGACATTGATCATGACGGAAGTGGATTTGGCTTATCAACGCAAGAAGAGAAAACGCATTTAGCATCAATGCTGCCAGGTCTTCCGAATATTGGGCTTCCGGCAGCTCATATTTGGCAGCGTTCGTCTTGGAGAAGACATCAACGGCGAAGCTTGACTTGGCCTGATTGAAATCCAGGCTCTCCAAAAGGTCACTAAACTGTGGGAAGTCTGGGAAATCTCATAGTCGCGCCTCGCTTTTCCAGTTGCAGGAAGCAGGCCCTCCAACCTAGCCGATGGACATTTTACCATGTCGGGCCAAGAGAACAGCCTGGTGCTAGGGGGAAAGAAACAAAGCTGTGGCTCTGGGCCCGGCGACGTGCGTCGGAACGCTAAGACCCACATCAAATGATGACCAAAAATACACCGCTACCATTGATGATCAAACTATCACCCTGATATGGCAATGAAGGAGAAAGGTGGCATCTGAAGCACTCCCTAGGCTGACTTCTCCAGTGTACACACACACACGTGTGGAATCCACAGCCTAATGTTATGAGCAGTTGAGGCCCACGGGACATGCCAGAACAGGAAAGCCATACAAGATCTGACGCAGCAAGCACTACTGTGCAACGGAATGCGTATTCAACATGGTTTGTGAACCAGCCATCCACGAAACAAGGTGAAACAACTCAGCCAGTCCAGAGCACAGCCATCATGCCTGACAGGCAACATGAGGAGCCAGTGCTGGGCGCGGGGAATGGGCAAGCCCCTCCCCTGAGTGGCGACCTCGCGTGTCCTTACCAAAGTAACCCCGGCCCTGACGGAAGGCTGGTTCAAATTCACATGACACGTGTTCCCAAGCGTTGCTCCCCATTGAGCAATTGCCGTTTCGAGTCCCATGGTCGCAGCCCCCCCGGGCCCGACCCCATGGGGTCCGCGCAAAGGTCGCCTTTGCAGAGCCCGCACCCAGCGCAATCGCCAGTTCCCGCAAGGAGCCCTCGAGGCCGGCTGTAGTTATTTCGGACAGCAATCGTGACACAAAAAGGAGAACCGAGGGGAATGGAAAAAGAAATCCCGATACACTTGCTCTATCCCACGCAGTGCCAGCAATATCCCGGGTGAGGAAGAAAACGCTTAGTCAGCTCAAACTTTGGGCCTACGGCTGGGTTTTTTCACATCACGCACCCAGTGCGAGTTGGCACCCTGCACCGGCGAGCCTGTACACGGTAGGCGGGACTTGAGCCAGTTTGGCCCCGAGTGTATACATGAGAAAGCACGTTCTATGTCAGCATGACTGTTCACACCCCCACGCAGCGCTGATCATTCTGGCATTCAGATTCCCCACCCCTGCTTGCAAGTCATTCCGTTGACTCCCGAGCCGTTGGCACGCGCTCTCCAAATTTCTCAATGCCCTTCGCGCTATCCAAGCTCTGCTCGTGCATTTGGGAATCGAAAAGCTCATCATGGCTGGTTGCTCTTCAGCCATCTTGTGGAAATTGGGAGCGCCCTTCCCAAACACTTTGGCCTCAGCTGCCTTCCTCTTTTTACACCCATCAGAACCTGCTTCAACGAGGCCGACTCGGTTTTGGCTCGAACCTCGACATTTGCATGTCTGGTTGGGCGGTGTTGGATGGACCCTTCGCGCCGCCACCTCTACCTCTACTACCTAAGCGGATCTTTCAGATGCTTCCCTGTAGCATTGCACTCATCTTCAATCCTTCAACGCGTGAGCTACCTGTCGCTCCAAGGTGTTGCTCCGACGTGCTGGCCCGCAGGCTCTCAGCTTGATCGGTGGATTCGTGGAAAGCGCATGTGGTCTGAAGAGCCCTCGCTTTATCATGTTGCTCCGCGGCTTCATGTAGACTCGCTTTTCTGCTGAACCTCTTCGGAGTTGATCCTTTGTTTCACCTCTGTCCGAAAGCCGCCCGCAAGCGAGACGAAGCCCTAGCTTCCGTGATCTGGTCTGTCCCAGTGTCACTTGGCTGGTGTGGTGCAGGAGCACCAACGCTCACCACGATGGCATCGCCGCCCCTTGGCTTGGTATGGCACTCCAACAGCAGGCGCTGCCACTGATCCCCCCAAGGTAACCGAAGATCCTTGTCCAGTAGCTATTGTCGGAAGCGCTGATACCCCAATGGAATATTGGATCGGTTCCGTCGAACGATGGGTTACACCCTATCACTCGGCTGAGATCATGGGGAAGTTGATATATAATCCCGAGACCTGTTAGTCTATCCCGCACAACACCAGCAATATCCCCGAGTGAGTTCCACGGCTGGTTTTTTCTCTTTCACGCTCTCAGTGCGAGTTGGTGCCGTGCACCGGCGACAGCCCGAGACTTGTGCCAATTGGCCACAGGTGTATGCATGACAAAAACTATGTGTGGCATGACTATTCATGTTAAAACAAGCATATGATTGTTGTTCCAAAATGGCTATATAAGTTTATATAGGCCTTGCTACAAACCTTATGCAACTAGGTGGTAGAACCATCTGCTAAAATGGCCACAGGGGGATTGGGCGCTGCTCATGTATCGTGGCAAGATGGCTACCAGCAACTACCTTCCGCCGACGAATGGAACATGTCTGAGGAACACCCAACCCGTGCCTGTAAGGGCCCCAAGTCCCTCTGAAGGTAGCTGCCGTTCCTGTTCTGCTCCTGCTCGATTTACCCCTCATCCTCTGAGCTTCAGAACTCACAAAATGGTTCAGACAAGGCCAGAGACTCAACTGAAAAAACAGGCGGGCATCCTTCATACCGGCTCGGGGTCAGTATCAAACATGCAAGACATTTGCAATGGAACTCGTCTTGTTCAGCAGTGCTTCAACTATGCTTCAACACATTTGCGCACCCAGAAGTCCAGATATCCCAGACAGGCCTGCAGCCTGCAACTTGCTGGAGTCATACAACTGTTTATCCGCTACAGCGTTCATGTTCTGGTCTCATGGTTTGCGCCGCTTGTCTTCCCCCAAGGCAAATCCCACTGATCCCACTGCACTCTCCTCCAGCGCACGAGCCCTGGCAATCACCTCCTGCTGCTTTGCCTCAGAGCAAGATGTCTGAGGCAGGCAGCGCTGGGCGACATTGGTTTCAACCACCAACCCCTCATCCCCCTTGAAGGAAAACCAAATGGGGGGGCTATTGAACAGTGTCATAAACATGAAAGGAGCAAGGGATTGGCCCAACTCATGGCAAGACTCTAAAGTGCCCATGGCCCAGTGCCCCCCGGTGTTCCCCGCCTCTCGCTCCATCTTGCGCCGCTCTTGGCGCTCCTTCTCAGCTCCCAGAGGCCGAGGCTCCGATGAAGGCCGCTCCTGGACCGTGACCCCAATCCGAACGCAGCCCCCAAAAACCTCGCGCTTGCAGGAAAAATGTGGAACAAAACATCATCCGGACCATTCCGCTCAGGATCTCGTTTAGGGTGGAGCCACAGTTTGAGCATCCAAACTAGCGACACAGGAGCGCACAAGGAAGCGCAAAAATGAGACGCGTGTACTCTAAAAGGAGGCCAGTGCCACCCCGCAAAAGGCTAGGAGACACACCATCCGAAACTCTCCGAAGGATTTGCCCTGGTGGACTCAGACCTCCAACTGGCCAATATTTCGCTAGGCACCGTGAGGCATATGGCTGTTTGGCCAAGTTGTGTGCACCTCCAGACAAACAAGCCCCGAAACCCCTAACCCCCACACAAAACACCAAGACCCCTGGCACCAAATCACCTAGTGCACAACCTCCAGGGACAACTTCCCGGATGGCCTTCTTTTTGTAGTGATCACAATCAAAGCGCGTGAAGCTCTCGGAGTAGGTGCTTGCCTGAGCTAGACTCACAAGGATCCATGCGTTTCTAAGCTGTCCTTGGCACTAATCGCACTGAAAGCATCCAAAAGCCCTTGGATAACTCCAGCCCACCAAGTCTGTAACTAGTAAGTGGCAGATCCGCTTTGTTTCCATTTTGTTGCATACGTAATTTGTGCATCTGCAGGTATTCCGCGTCTTGAGGTCCGCCCTATTCCTTCCAGCTCACTGTCTGAATTTGAAGTTCGGGTCCGCAGCTTACGGAACTCTGAGTCGCCAGCCCAGGAGTTCTGCCGCTTGGCCAGCGTTCTGGCTGCGGGCGCTGCTTTCGCCGTCGCCGAAGCCGGCGCTCGCAGCTCGGAGGTCCTCATGACAGGTCGCATGCCACCCTACCCTGCCCCCCTGCCATAGGTTACGGAGGCCCTCAGACAACTTGCCTTGAAATAGTTAGAATCCCGGATTTCCCCATCGCGCCGATGGCAGAACGGCTCTTGAAATCAAGTGTAATCGTGCAAGTTGCACCAACCGCCGTCTTCTGTGGCCACAGCATGCAGAGCTGGCTGCTGTGTGCAGGTGTGTGTTTTTTGCAAAAATGCTAGCTTCTAAGTCACCATGGTCCTCCTAAAGCTGCGCCACGTTAAGCCACTTACTCTGCAAATGAAGAGGTTTTGGTTGGTTCACTGCCCCCTCCTGCGCCCATGACAGCAGGCATCGCTGTAGCTGGTCCTGCGAAGTCCGAATGGCGCTCACGGCCAGGGCACCCGGAGTTTGTGTGCTGTCAGGTTTGCCTTTCACACCATTCGTTTGATGAAATGCTTGAAAACAAGTCGGTTGCACCTTTTTCGTCCCCAAGAAGCAGCCTTTCTTGAAGGCCGCTCTGGCTCAGCGTGTTTCTGCTAACAAAACAAACCCCATCAGAATCATGGCTTCTGGGAAGGCGGAACAGCTCTGACCCCCGCCTTGTCAAGGCGCCCTCCAGGCGCGCCAAGGCCTCGACATATTTGCTTCGTTGGGGTCCTCAAAGTACGGCTTCTCAGGGGTTGGCCCCTACTCCATGACTGTTCGAGTTGCAGCAACCCCAGCTTGCCACTGGGCGCGCCAGTCTCCAACAAATCCCATCCTCCTCCCCCTCCTCCTCCTCCTCCTCCTCCGCCTACTCATACTGCATGACTCCCCTTACGTTCCCGCCGGCATCCGTTGCCCCCCCACCCCCAACCCCCCCCACCCCACCCCACCGCCAATTTGCCCCTGGCCCGGCTCCTGGCGCGTGGATTCGGGCAAGTTCTCCTCCGCAGGCCTCAGCGGTTGACAATCATGCTCTTCGATCCCTGTCAAAAGATGAGAGGCAAAGGGCAACACCCACCGGCTCATGAAATACATCCCTCTGCGCTTCCTGAATTTGCTGGAAAAAGCAAAAGATCAGGACTTGTGCTGTGAACAAACAACCGAAGCTGGCATCTGCAGGCCTGGCACCCTCAGTGCTGATTGAATGCCGGGAGCCCTGACCCGCAGTGGATCCAATCACTCAAGCGAGGGCGTCTGGGCATCGCATCCACAATCCCCCCGCAACCCTGCGATCCCGCTTGCGCAGGCCAGTTGCAAGTGCTAATCACTGTTGCAGATTGTTTTGTGGCAAACAAATCCGATGCGCGGGAACGTGCTAGTGCTGATGGCCGCTGAGAGGTTCCCTATGCTCCAAAAGCGGCGGCTGGCTTCACGGCTGCAGATACCAGTCTTGACCCTACGAGAAATACTTAGCTGCTTGCTCCCATCGAGAGAAAATAGATCAGAAGCCAGATCGGGCCCAAATGGATTATTGTTCCCAACTTTTGGATGCATCATTGCTCCCCACACCCAAAATCTGCGAATCCGCCGTTTTGCGGCACCGCCACCAGCAAAATCAGGATCTCACTCAGCTTGGCTGAAAGTGCCCTGAACGAACGGGAAGAATGCCCGTTCTCAGAAGCTTTGACAATCCCCTGACGTTCCGAGTTGAAATGTCCAGCCCTGAAAGCGGCCGTGAACATCCGTGTGTCCTGCAATCCTGACAATTCCAGAGTCTACCGTCATTGTCATTGGCACTACTCACAAGGTGCCCAAAGAATCCAACACCAATCGTGCAGCGCTGGAGTTCAGCGCTTTGAAAAACTGTTTGGATTCGGATTCGCCTGGGGCCTCCCAAACATGGAGGAAATGCCCAAACGTGGCCTTAACCCAAGCTGACTACCAGCTTCTTTCCGCTGTGCCCGTCTCAGAAATTCCCTGGTGCACACTGCCTCAGTCGGGCTGCAATCCTCTCCAAGCCCAAGCAAGTCATTCGGCTGATTCAGCAAAGATAACCCATCCAGCCGGGACCCTCCATGCACAAGGCCACGGCTCCCTCGCCACATCACACCTCAGCAACACACTGTCAAAAAGCCTGCACTAAATGCCTCGTCACTGGAAAACCTCAAATTTAAATGACAGTTCGAGGGAAAGCCTTATTCTCTGAACTCACAGCAGTAGAGCTGCGCATCCATCAGCCCCATGCCCTGAACCGAAAAAAGCAAAGTGTCTGAAGCCAGGCGATGCACTTGGGGCAAGGTGTTTTGATGGATGGATGACGAGGTGTCCGGTCCATGCGCCCGGGCCCAAAGCTTTGCTGAATGGAGCACTGCTGTGTCTCCCCAGTATCACCTGTGCGCTGTGCGACGTGACCTGCGGAGGTTTCCTCCTGCTCACTACATAGGAGCTGTCGCCCCACCAGCGCCTGAACCCGCGTCGGGTTGGCACTTGCACCTAGTCCATTGACGCCCTAAGTTCCTGAAGCAAAGGTCGCGGCCCTGTGATGAGGTTCACGATCTGCCTGAGTCCCAAACTTCGCGATTGGGGTTCACTTGGCCCGACTTCGAAAGGGTTGGGCACTTGGGATGCACCTGGAGCAAAGACCCATCTGGCTACTTCCCATTCACCACGGCAAACGAAACAAGTGAGCAGCGCCCAGAACCCATCGACTTTGGGTTCTATCAGCATTGATATTTGCTTACAAAAATACGCGTCTTACCATGAACTCCATGATGTTCAGCGTAAGGATTGAATTCGGGAAAAGGGCCAACTGGCTGATGTGTTCACTCTTGGATTTATGGTTACGATGGGCCAAGGAGAGCCTAGCAGCGCTTATGCGCTGTGAACCCTGAGGCACGAGAATTTGTGAGTGGGAGATTGGGGTCTTCCAGGACACTATCCTACTATCCTCACTGTTCCTCGAGAAAGCCAAAAGCTTCGAACGGCCCGGCTCTCAGCGAGACTGCCGCCGCAAGTTGGAAAGGGGGGGTGCACAATGCTATTAGCTCATTGTCAAGTACGGAGTCAGGGTCTCGTTGCAACTCGGCCGCTTGGCCAGTCCAATTCTCTGCTTGGAGCAATGCAGTCATGATTCCCTCTCCATGTCAGCAAGATGGGGCAATCAATCTTGCCGGTTGATGAATTGATAACATCGGGCAGTTCGCAAATGGCTGGCTCCAATCCCAAGGCCCTGGCGATTGCGGGAAGACACCGGGAGAGAAGATAGCGGGAGATACCTCGTGGCAAAAGCGAGGCAAGCCGATCGAGCTCAACCACGTTCACGGCTCGCGCCAATCGAAAGGTGCAAAGCAGGCATTCACGGCCAGTGGATCGTGAATGCGAAAAGGGATTCATTCCTTTCCTGCAAGGAGCATGACTTTTTCGTGCTTTCTGAGGTCAGCTGCCAAGGAGTGGCCCTTAATTAGGTCTTTCCCGAATGGGCGACGTCTGACCCACAAAGACCCACCACTAGGCGGTCAAGAGAATCGCAGTGCGACCTGCAAGGACTGTCAGTGTGCCCACTATCGACATCTCTATCTCTAACAAGCCCTTTTCAACAAAAAGGAAACACTCCACATTCCGCACATCCAAAAGGGCTGTAAAACTCCTTGCACTGTAAATGGCTTCTCCATCATGCCACAACTTACATCCTCCACAAACACACCCACACAAGCAACCAAACAAACATGCAAAAACAAGCTTGCAGGCAAAATCGCTGGGCCTGGGTACTCCAACACTCTGATATGATCGATCATAGTCCAAGCCGAAAGGCATTTGGATCGCAAAAAGTGTTGCGATGAGAGGGCATCGTTCGAGAACTGAGGCCCCGGACCGACTCGATTCCTGCGGCCGTCCCCGCACTGATCGGAGGAGTCGGCAATTAGATTCCCCTAAAAATGAACCCCATCTTAAGGCTACTATGCATTGTAGGCATTGCTGGGCCATGTTAAGCGCATGGGGCAGGGCAAACCTCAAAAATCAGCTCATCCAGACGTCAAGCCGCAGATTCGGACAGGGACTGCGCACTGCGCACTGCGCACCAAACCCCTGTCACATCAGCACCCACAGAACCGTGTCAGCCACATGGACACCGCCTGCCTTCAATATGGGTGTCCGGAACATCCTGGGTTGTGACCTGGGAGCTGTCAAACCCACGCTGACTGGATGAAGCTACCGCTGGAAATCAAGGTCCTCTCTGACCGAGGCAGCGGCACAAGGCTCAGCTGATTGCCAGTGGTTCAGGTTCGCCTTGACATTGCGAGCAAACCAAGTGTCGCAGCCTGGTACGCACACGGACTTTTGCTGATCATATGTGCGTTTCTAGAACTGGTGGACCCCTTTTTGGTTGGTATTAAAGGGAAGCCAAAAGGAAACCAACCACTTCAGGGTACCCCTTTTTTCAGAAAGTCCCATACAATGATCAAGCATAAATCATGGTTAATCAACAGGATGATAATTGGTGTTTTTCCTTTTGAGGCAGGGTCTGCGAACAAGGTTTCAAGATTGAGACCATCAGGCGACGCCCCCCAGCCTCCAGGCGATTCAGACAGTCAATCAAAAAGTCATCACTGGTGATATAGAAATGCACAGCCTGCACGTGGATGCAATGCCTGTTTTACAAAATATGGGCAAGCCAAGACAAACACTCCACATGGGAGCAACAAATGAAGAAGCAGGATTCCTTCATACTCGTGATTCGGCATAGCGTCTCAATTGTCTATCGCACATGCACTACCTGCCCCTGCCAAGAAAAACACGTGGTGACTGGCTGACGTTTCAGTCTCCTCCGGAAGCTGCTTTGCGAACCGCCGAACGGGTTACAGCTGGGGCCTTGTACAACGGAGTGACCAAGTGCCGCAGAAATCCAACCTGCAGTTGGCTTGTCAGAGTCACAATGTCCATGGACAAAATTCACTTTGCACAGCGGGCATGGATGAAACCATATGAATGCTGGGATACACCATCAGTCCGATAGTGCCATTACGTGAGACTTCTGAAAATGATCTGTGACTTGTCATCCTTTCTCTCGTCAACTCGACAAGAAAACACAGTGCCTAGCAGGGGGAATTAAATTCCTCTTGTCCAATCACAACACTGGCATTGGCATGTGATCTGCCACTTGCTTGAGCAAACAAAACAGTGGCAAGAAAATGCGACCAAGAGGAAACCGAAAGGAGTTTGGGCCTGCCTGTGAGATGGCAATATTTACCTGGCGGCGAGGCGGCGAGGCGGGGGGGGGGGCGGGGGGCGGGGGGCGGGAGGGGCAAGGAGGGGCGAACGCAAAGCTGCGACTGCAAGGGTTCCAATCCAGCCTGATTCGGACAATGTTCCGATCTGAAAAAAACCTGATCTTGTTGGAAAGGGCCAGCCAGGCGTGATGCTGTTTCAAGGGAACACAGGTGTGTATGCCGCGGACGATCGAGGGGGTCGCTCTCCTCCTCTCAAAGACACACCCAAAGACAGGTTCAAAGGGCAATCAGAGTTTTGTGCTTCCAAGCGCTGCGCTTGCAACAAAATCCAACTCGCGACCCTTGAAAGTACTGCGCCTGTCACCAAGTTTCCACTCGGTGCTCCAAAGCGCAACCCTCCAAAGCACGGGGCGCCAACCACCGCACAGAACAGACAAAGGACTGTGGCGCCAGCATGACTTTGACCAATCGTCCAAGCACCCTGCATCAAAACAGACAGCCTGGAACGCAAGTCACAATGGCACACGACGAACACGGACAGAGAACTCAAAACACCGCGCCTGTGCAGCAAAAACAACGCGATCTGCCAAAGCTAGAAGAACGCGCTCCGATTTCGGCTACCCATTGGCAAGGTGAGCTCCACACTCACGAACGCTTTGCTACACAAACGAACAACGTGAACGCACAAACGTTGATAATCGTCCCACAAAACGAATCGCCTGAACAAACTCTTCAAGCAGGCTCTTTCCAAGCCCGCTGCAAGAATCGCGATCGAAAGGGGGCCCTCTGAGGTGTGCCCACCTCCCTGTTGATCGTGCTGCATACGCAGGTGAGTTCATTTCCAAACTCTCTCAAAGTTGAAATTCCAGCCATGTTCAAAAAGCATAATGGATTTACAAGTCGTTTGTTTGAGAGCCCGTCGTCTTGCAAATCTTGAAAACGTGACTAAGCTGCTCTGCGTCTGGGTTATTCAAGCAGCCATCCAACCAAAAACCGGCACTCAATATACAACATACCGTGGTGATCGTCCAAAGAGCGACCTCTGTAAACTCGATTCGAAGTGCCAAGTTCGACGGGATTTCTTAGAATGGCTCAAGAGCTCCAGGCGGCTATTTTGACATCACGCACACATTTGGAGATCTCAGAGACTGAGTCTTCATCTACGCTCCGCTGACTTCTGTCCCTGCCTCGTTGCGGTCACAGAGCGGGGAGATCGGGAGGCCAAGCCTGCGCAAGATGGCAAGCTCGGACCAAAGAAAGGCATGGCTCGAGGACCGGCTTTTACTAGCCCCGGCGTTTTACCTCCCCGTGTTGGCTGGGAATCCTTGCTCCACTCTTAGGTTGGGGGCAACAAGCGGTATTCTGTGGAGTCTGGTTGGCCAGGCTGGGGGTCGGGTTGTTTGGCCGCATCCCCAGCATCACCGGCCAGAGTTGCTCGGAGCTGGTTTCGGGTGAGTGTTGGGCTTGCTGAGATCTTCATGAGGGCGGGCCTTGGGCTTGTTTGGAGTCTTCTGCTAGGTGTGCGGCTGGTTTGGTTGTGATTGTAGGGCCAACCAACCAACACCAAATCGCGCCATTGGGCAGCAAGCCAACCAACCCGAGCAACTTTCAACTACCACCAAATCACAGCCAACGCGCAGCCCTCACAACCGGGGATGCGGCCACCCAAGCAACCAACCAACCAACCAAACCAACCAACCAACCGACCGACCGACCAACAAACCAAGCAACCAGCCACATGACCGGGATCAAGCCCCGGTCGAGGCTAGTAAAAAAAACAAAAACGGCAATGGTGGCTGTCAAAATCAAGCTCAGGTTGATTGCACTGCACTGCTTTGGTTATGACTAAATGTCTATGGCCGGCTCGACTTGCGTTTGCTTTTCAGAGCTTTGAGAGACAGAGAAACATGGCAGTGCCATCTGAGATGCCAGCTCTCGCTCCTCATCGCCCTGCGAAAAGAACTCCCTGGCGCGGCGGCCATCAGTTTCAAGTGCGCCTTCTTGCTGCAATCGATCTCCTGCACTTGAAACTGAGACTTGGGCATGTGAATCCGAATTGTCATTCTCCTTGTGATGTCCTCAGCAAACGCGCAGTGAAGCAAAGCGCTCCAGCGCTGGACCCTCGCTGTAAAGCGTCTGAGGGCTCCACCAGCGGCTTGCCCGCATGACCAATGTCTGCTGCCTCCCGACCAAAATAAAATATTGGCCTGGCTTCTGGACCCGGCGTGATGCCCCAGATCTGCTTTGTAAAGGCCCTTCCCAAATCGAACCTGCAAAAGGGATGCGTCGTTAAAACCGAAAATGTGGTTGGCTTGAGATCATGTTGACCGCACATTGCTAACTTTGACACAATGTGCCAGACATCTGCCTAAACTTGTCCGTCAATCCAGCCTTAAGATAGACTGAGACGACTCTTACTGCTCTGTCAGCCTGAGCGAAGCATAACGAAGGCTTGCTGGGACTCTCCGGAGCTAGGAAAAGGCTATCACCAACACTCATCTAGAGGCGCATGTTGACACTCACCGGCAAGAAGCACCATGACTCCATCTTGCAAAGAGGCATGGTGATCGATGCACGTCCCTGACGTGGACATAGCTGTCGCAAGGCCCCCCTGCCGCCGACTCTGTGTAGATCGAAGGTTCGGATGGCATTGAGATGTCGTTCTTGTCGCCAGACCTCCCACTTTCTCTTTGGAACCCCCAAGGAAGCTCCAAACTCTCGAAACGGGGACTGTCATTGCTCCAGTCGCTCCCTTGCGCACATGAGCTCCTACATGCCCGGGGCCGAGGCTCGGTGTAGTTGATCGCTGCCTTGAACCTGCCATCAACTGCAGAAATATGGAAACCTGTGCCCTGGTGGACCTGGCAACTGGGACCTAGAGATATGCTGGGACCTAGAGATATGCTGCGTCTTAGCATTGCGACGAAAAAGGGATGCGAAACTCGCCTGGACAAGGTCTCAAAGTGCTTGGACATGTCCGTGGCCAGGACGGCCTCGATGACTATCCGCCTGACAACCCCCCCAAGCGCCCAGTCGTGCTGATTGGCTTCTGGCTGAACCAAATGTTGGACCTGTAGGGCCCGTTGGCTGGCTGTCAAACGGAACCCGACGGGTCACCATAGGGGGGCCATCCGGGCATATCGCCCTCAGCGTCAGCCCCTGCAAAAAGGAAATCTGGCTGAAATCTCCCACCCAGCCTGATACTCTGATACTGTGGCCAAGGAGTGCTTTCTGGGTTAAACTAAGCTTCCCCGGGACGAGATGCCACGGCCTCAGCAGCGTGAAGTCCGCGTCTGGAAGGCCTCGGTGATCCCTAGCCCCAGAAAAGCAGACCCTTGGGTGGACATCATTTGGCTCATTTAGGTGTTCCTATGAAAATTCGTTGCCACATAGCATTTTGGTTGCTAGCCCCAGTTTCTCATGGTAGTGGTGAGTGTGCTGTACAGTTGTTTTTCTTTCAGTAGATCCTGATGCGCGCTATGCCGTCACCCATCGAAAGTTGGAGCTGCTGGAGGCCCACAGGCCGGAAAATGAATTTGTCTTGGACCTCTTCGGTCCAATGGCGAATACATCAAGTTGAACGCTTCCCACAACGCGAGCGGCAGCTGGCACGTAGCGACGCGCTGTTCATTCTGTCCCACTCCCCGCCTGCCCAATCCGACACGCCAACTGTCACTGTGTCTTGACACTGGTCATGTGCCCAGAGAGGTCATTGCAATCAAGTCTCACGCAGAGTTGATACAAGTCACTTGAAATAAATATATACAAAAATGCATATACGGGTGTATATGCATATACACCCATATGGTTGTGCATGATACATGCATACGTACATATGTATGTGGATACAAATATGCATATATACATATTTTCAGTGTGTTTGTGTATGTGTGTGGCAGCATAGTGGTCGCTAATTGCAGGCGCCAGCGGCACTGTTCAGGATGTGCTTTGGAAGCAACAAGGAAGTGCTGGGAACTGTCTTCTTCAAAAGTTATTTCACAGGGAACGGCCACTTGGCCCTCAAAGTACACTTAATGCAACCCATGCATTACATTTGCGTGTCACCTTGAAAAGCACGACCATCAAAAACCCTGCAAAAGTCACGGGCCTGCCTGAGCAACCGTCCTGAGGCGCCCGCATTGGAGGAAAAGTATGATCAAAACTGTCAATGGTTGATGTTTGCATAGATCCCGAAATTGCAAAATAAACGCCAAAAGGGTCTATCAAAACGGTGGAAGCGATGATCCCATCCGTGAGGGGAACAAGATGGAACATGCGGAAGGGTTGTTTCGGCTGCAGACGATCCTATACATGATGCATGTTCAAGCAGGATCTGGTTTGTACCAGGATCAGGCTTGGCATCACAAAATGATCGCGAATGATAGTTACACATACTCAGATCACATGGCCAATGCAGCAACCCTCTCAACATTCCCTTCTTGTTGCGTAGTTGGGAACCAAACAACAGATCCCTTGAGTCATTGCCTGATTCTGTTAGCTCAAGACCCCCCGTCTGCGGTAGGGCGGCAGGGCAACAGGTCTACAGGACCGCTGATTTTGCTGCCACGGTAGAGTTGGGTTCTCCAAAAAGCAGAGGTTGACAGGAAAGCTCTCCGAAATGAATGGTGATGTTGAACTCCTTTCAAGGAGACATCGCCCGTTTGCCCAAATTCCAGAGTGAATGGAGGCCAGTGCTGTTTGCACGGTCTCATTGCTGACATGTTTTACGTTCGGATTGTTTGCAAAGATTTGTCTCAACACGCCCCATGAGCAAAAGCAAAGAGGGCAGTCCGAAAATGAATAGCGGCACAACATGCCTGGAATCCAGCAAAACCTCCCTCCAGCCTTGGCTACAAGAAAAGCATAAAGGCGAAAGTAGATGGCACAATTTCCGTTGTAACGGGAATGGCCAAACCAAATAGGAAAATCTGCCATCTCCTTTCACCTCGCCTCCCCAAACCCGGAAGCGCCCTTTTGACGCCTCCTCAGCCATCGCCATATGAGGGCGTCGGAAGAGCGCGGCTTGCGGCTGGCGCAGCAGGCTGAAGCCTTCGAGACAGCGAAAGTTGGATTTATAGGCGATTTGTGAGTACAGCTTGAGTACAGCTTGAAACAGGAACACACATCCTGAGGTTGGCTCCCTCTCTCTCTCTCACTCTCTCTCTCTCACTCTCTCTCTCTCTCTCTCACTCTCTCTCTCTCTCTCTCTCTCTGTCAAGGTGACATCACAAACTGGAGTTGCTGCGTGCCCTGACTCTCAAAAGAGAAAGGGCCGTAGCAAAAAGAACTAAAGGTTGAAGATGGTGATGCAAAGTTGAGAAATGCTGTGGGACAAATAGCATCTGAATCAACAACACGATCACAAGCAAGTCTAGAGCACGCCAAAAACAAACGGCACGCTAAAAACACACGGCATTCGCAGAGGGTGACATTCGACACGCCAAAAATGGGGGGCGAAAATGATGGTTGTCCTTTTGGCCACCCTTTAAAGCAACCTGAATAGAGTACCCTCAAAGAGGACGCAAAGCCAAGAAAGAAACTCAGACAGTACGTGTCGGGTAGTTTGATAGCTCGCCTGCCACCCTATTTCTCCAAATTTAAAAGGGGGCAGGAGCCCCGATTCTGAGAAACACCGGCTTCCGGCCCAAGGTGTTTCAGGTCGATGTAAACATGTTGGGCGTGGGATGTATACAAATGTCCAACCCTGCTTCAAAAATCAGCACAGATTGTTTGGAGTGTCTTGAAAAATGGCAACGGTTTCCTTGTGGTCATGAACCGATTGCAATTCAGGGGAGACTGGCGTTGTAGCCTGACTTCCGGCCTCTTGGACTGCGCGACTCTAACAGAACGGTCATCTTTTGCAAGCTCTGACTTGTGGATGTCTTTCTGAGTCGCTAAGCAGGCAAAACTGCAAGTCGCTCCACAAGCGACTAAGGTGCTGCCTGGGGAGTTAAGCGTATGGCAATTCGTGGCAAGCGAAGCAGCTGGATACATCCCGTTCCCTAACCCGGGGCTGCGGCCGATCGTGCAGTGCATGTTCTCCAAGGGTGACTGATCCTGACAATCAGGCAGAAGCAGCCGGTCTTTCCCGAGACCCGAATCGCAAGCATCCCATGCTATGCTCCCTCGAAGCTGTTTTGGATGGATCCGGTGCTTTCTTCCGAGTGTCAGACTTGAACTAGGCCCCACTGAGCTCTTCCTCACTGAGCCGGCGGCATTGTAGAGTACAGCAACCGGGTCGTGACTCGCCACATGATACCGGTTGCTCCTCGCGTGCATAGCCCCAGAGGGGAATTCACAAATGATCCACTCAACACATTTGCGGATGTCCCCATAACTTTACGGTTTAGTGTCACATTGCACGCATGCAACAGTCGAGACGATTCTTTGCAGCGGCCCACCTGCCAAAGTGACCCACGTCATGGATGACAGCCTCGCTACAAGAGCACAGTCAACCACCATGCACCGAACAGCCAGAGCGATACACAAGGCTTTTACAATGCTCCTCTGAGCATGCTCCGCTTTGCATGCACTCAAGCGCTTTGAGCCATGCGAAGAAAAAAATGTCGAAGAGATCATTGCTCCAATAGAAACTGTTGACCCCATCTCCAGGCGCCCGGGCTGCAACAAAGGTGGCCAGCCGCGGCAACGCGGGCAGTGGCGCACGGCTCACACGCCTGTCCTTGCGACTTTCGACCGCAATCGACAACACAAAAAAACAACCTCTTGCTAACCCGCGCGGTTGATGAATTGCCGATTGAAGGACTGTCTGGTGTTCGCACTGGTTGCCTTGCTTCGGGAACACACCACGGAAATGTCAGTGGAGAGCACATTTTGTGCGAACTGGCACCTCAAGCCAACTCTGAGCTGCGGCTGCACACCAACAACGCTGACCCACATTTGTGCAGGCCAAGTTGACACAAGGCATGGCAATTGTTGGCTGAGTTTCTCATCAGCATCCTGCTTGGAGTCAACCATTGCTGATGGTAACAACTGGGGCATGATGAATTCAATGACTGCAGGGATGGCTGCAAGGGTGGTAGTCTGCATCTTGGTGAGAATCCCACCATTTCCCAATCAAAATTCGGTGACTGTACCCTGTGTCATCTCTTTTGCTACAGTAGATGATTGACTCAGTGCATGAGGCAAGTGCAACATGTGCAAATGAATCACAAACTTCAGACTCTTGGCAGACCTCTCAAGGGCTTGGCGGGAGCAAAGCTAGCTTGCTCTCCAGTAGTGAATCGGCCTTGTCTCTGCATGATCAACATGGCACGCCGTACATTTCTTTGCAGGAACACGCTCACTGCCAGAATGTTCAAGAGGAACAAGACATGCAGTTGATACACATCTAAAGCTCTGCTCATGCCGAAATCCATTTCAGAGCCTTACACTTGGCGAACCATGCATTTCCTTCCAGGCCATTCAAATCGATCCCGTCCTGGGAGAGGAAGTAGGTACACGAGCTCAACACATCCGCAGCATGGATGTAGTTGTGGTAGGGAACCGTGTGATACTGTCTCTGCAGATCTTGCAGGAAGCACCTGAAGGGAAAAGCATTCAGCACATGTGCAAGCTCCAAGCTTCGCTTCAAAGAAGAAAAAAAATGCGTTGAGAATTTCTCAAGTGTCCGGACAGCCATGATCTTTTGCCCCCACCTCAAAGGGAGAGCGAAGTTGGTCACGCCAGCCTGGCAGGATCTGATGCGTTGCTGGCAATTGTGTTCCATGGATCCATGCGGGCGCAGGTACTCACGCCTTCTCACATCCAATCATCCAATCCTTCACTCGAGCCCCCAGGAACCAGACAGGAGAATTGCCGTTGCTTCTTGAATTCGCGTCAAACAAGCTGCCCGATAAGTCTGGCCCGTGTCGACTTCCTCCACGTGAAAACTGTCAAAGACAAACCGGAACACCTAAAGTATCCAGTA